AAAATACCACCACACACTGTGCTCTAGTATATACAAAAAATGCATGCAGGATAAATTGGTTTGATTTTTATTATTTTACTGTAGAAAAATATTTGGCATTTAGAAACATTTCTGACACGCAGGTCTGTTCCTACGTAACTCTACAAAGAAATATTTTTTTTCCTATGAGCTGAACAATCTGTCAACACTGTTTTCACTCAGCTAACCTGCCAATATAACACAAGTCGGCTATATGGAGAGTTACAGAATATAGAGTCATTAGATTTATTTGGAGAATAAATAGCACATTCTGTTGAAATCCTGCACAGCAAGGAACGCAGTTGGCTGGATGTTGCCTCATGCTGCTTTCTAGTAAAACATTACTTTTGGGAACCACCTGAAACAACTTGCCTCTCAGTTGAGGGAGGACAGGCTTAAGAATTCAACCTCTTCCTCTTCTTTCTGCCATAAATGACTTAATAACTGTGTGACTGGAACTCAGAATACACACCCACATCAAGCCCTTCTGTCTAATAATGCTGGCAACTGTGGCTGAGAGGCCTGCACCACCAAACGATGTCATGCCACACATATCTTTTTGCATGCTTTAAGACTGAAGACTACAAATCCACCCCAGGCAGGAGTAGCATCGTCATCACAGAACAAGCATCGGGCAGCTTGTGGCTAGCCAGCACTCTCCGTCTCTGGGCACACAGAGAGCAGCACGTACCAACATCGGATGCCCGAAGGGATGAAAAACCTTGTATTTGCACCATTTGCACCAAATACGGAACTACCCATATTTATAAATGGGCATTTTCTTCCAAAATAAGGTGGCTTTGAGATTGCGTACTATGAAAGCAGAGTTACCAACATTTTTCAAGTTTATATTGAACCTACAGTTCAAAACAGGATACAAGTGATACAGTTTAGGCTCATCGAAGATACCTTGATGAATCTATTGTCCAAGGCATCCTGCTATCTCAAGCATACTGCTGTTACTCAAAAGCATTTTCTAAAATACTAAAATGCCTGCAGAGATGCAAATGAGGAAATGCTGCAAAACTATCAACACCAGGAGCATAGTTCCTTCGAATGTTAGCCAAAGGACCTGAGACCAGTGGGTATTCTCTCACAAATGATACACACAAATTATCAAATAGTAAGGTCATTACCTACATTCAGAAGTTCAATAGAACATGTCAGAAATCAGTAAGTAGCTACAAAATCAGAACTAAGGAGAACATTCGCTCCACGGCTCCTTCAGCTAGCTGAAGGCGGTGTCTACCTTAAAAAAAAAAAAAAAAAAAAAAAATAGCAGGGACCTTCCCAAAACAACACTTGCTTTTTGGAAGCATATTTTCAGACTGAAAAGTTGCAAGAGAATCATAATAATGTACTCTCAAGCCCTTATTTCTTAAAGGAACAAACAAATATCTCTTTGTCTTCTGATCATATACTCGACACCCAAACCAACAAAGTTAAATCGGTTTGGAAAAGCAAAATATTGCTAAGAATAAAGCGTATCTCTAGATGTCCTGGATAGAAATGAGAAAACAACTATCTGCTGTTGAACTCAAACTTTGTAGGGTTTCTCTTTCTCTTCCAAGAAAGAAAACCAACTCTATTCCTTTCTATTTTTAGCCAAATGAGCAAACACAGTGGCACCGCAAGCAAGAGGAGATGGCTATCTGCAATGGGAACTTTTCATAACCCCACATGACAAACATGAGTGGCTACAAGTAACCCACCACAACTAAAAAAAAAAAAGCTCGAAGGATCTTGTGGATTTTGGTTGGCATCTTAAGTCCTGAAGCCGGTACGTGAGATTTAGGTAAGGCGTGTCGTTATCTTGGCGCCAGACCAGCATCACCTTCTGGTTTTGCCTCCAAGCAGCAGAAGCCAGAGCCTCACCAGAACACGTGGGCACTTCAGGGTGCGGAACGGGGAAAGCCAGATCCCCGAGAGGCCAAACACCCATTCAATAGCACTGCATCCAAATTTAGTCTTCAACGCTCCTGCACAACCTAAGTGGACAAGACGACAAGTTTGTGGCTTTCAGTATGCCTGCTGTTAACTACAGAACTAGCACTTCCAAATTTTCAGCGGGATGTTTGAGTCTTTTGTGCATTTTATCAGAAAACAATTTACAAATGTTACAATAAAGACATGCTTTTATCCCAGTGAAAGGACTTTTAGTAGAAAGCCATCACAATTAAGCATTTCTCTCCCACTGCATCGTCACACATCTATGGGCTCACCTGCCTACAAGAATTTTATTTAAAATGCCAATGTTTAGCCACCTCGTATCAGAGCGAGTCTTTGCAACAAAGGGAAACAAAGGAGAGAAACCAGTCATCAGTGCAAATTTGAGGTCCATGTTCTTCTTCAGGAAAGGGTTCTTTCAAATCAAAAATATTCAGTTGCTGAGTTTCCGAACATCTCGAGTAACTCATTTTGTCAATGCACCCAAATATTTAATGTTCATAAACCTTCTCAACTATCAAAAGGTGCACTGCAGTTTCAGTGTCACATTAAAATTCACACAATATGAAGGGCAGGCTACGGAACTGAAAAGCTTGGAGACCCCAGCCACAAACCTCTAATATCAGGGTTTCAGCTGCCCTCACAACTTCTGCCCACTGCATACTTTGTCTGGACGTTTGGCCACAAACGCAGTCTCTCATAGTGAACTTATCAACTTCAGCATGTTGGTGTGGGGAACCTTCAGCGGCCGTGAGCTGCCAAGTACCACATGCTCCAGTGCTCAAATACAGGGGTTGTAGAAGAGGTGCTTTGAACCTCCAGAACTAGCACTAACTGTCCATCCCGCTTCAGAAAAGCATTATTTTCCACCACCCCCTCCAACGGCTGCAAATCCACAGGCGTGTCCATCAGCAGTAGCAACCAAGAATTCCAACTTAACACGCTGTGTTGAGCTGCCAGTAAAAATTACATCCTCTCAGATTAATCATAACGCTAAAGTTAGCCCCTCCGCTCCTGCTCACCAGGAAATCCTGCTGCATCATGGGTTGGCTTGCCATTTCAAAAACCTCTGCACCCACTGCTTGTATTTTCTCAGGCTATCCACCAAAAATTCATCACAGTTGAGTCACAAAGAAAGAAAGAATAAACTCGCCTCTAGCTCCATAAAAGTAAGAACTTCTTCCCATAGTCAGGACACCTTCCAACAGACAACCTATATACTGCCTTGTGGTCCAGTGATTTCTTCATGAACTGATGGATTACACTGTAGAAACGCTCACTGAATGACCTTGCTAGCTCCAGATGGACAAAAGAGCTTCACTAGACAAGGCGAAACTGCTTTGGATCCAGGAAATCTGAACTAATCCTTCTCTCATACCACCCCTATCACTAGTGTAGCAACATGGAAAAGTTAAGCAAGTCTTAAGATGTCTGAATCCCGACATTAATGTCATCCGTCCCACCAAACACAACACAATTTAAGATCAGTTGTGTTAGTGGTGTGATCTGGAGAAGGCTTTTCGTTCCTCAACGACTTAATAAATGCTGTTACTAGACTAACTCTACGGAGCTACGTGTACCACAAAATTGTGTGGAAAACAACTGAAATCACCAATACTTATAAGGCAGCGCAATTTAGTTTAATAAAATTCACACTGTCTTACCAGAAACTAAGTTTTCTGGCACAGATATTGGCGGCCACATCCCTTTAAGTTGCTCTATAGATACTACTACTACTACTGCCTTCTTCCTCCGAAATCACACTTCATCCCGGCCACTACTCACGACTTCCCACTCCACCCCAGGAACCCACGGAACACAAAGCGTGGCTGCCCACCCACCACTTCCCAGCGTAGGCCAGTCACCAAGTCACCAGCAACCACCACAGAAGTCTCCCTATCAAGCAGAACCCTTGTTGTTTTTGCTGTCCAACAGCTCAGGCCCCCAGCTCGGGTGTTCCTGCCTCTTCCCACCTCCCGGGACCGCTCGGAGAGGGCATCGCCCGCGCTTGGCTTCTCCCGGGAGCCGCGGCTCCCGGCTCCGGTGCCACCAGACGGTCCAACCCACCCGCCCCCCCATCCCGGGATGAACGGGCGGCTTCTCCCACCCCAAAGCTGGGGGAAACGCCACCGACACAGGGCGCGGGTCCGTCCCCGCTCCGCCGGCCAAGGCGCGGCCTCCCCCCCCACCTCCCCGGTGCCACCGCACTCACAACTCGGGGATAAGCAACAAGAGCACTGGGCAGGGGGTTACCCAGTGCCGGGGCTGCAGCCCCGCGGACACCCCCCCGGGGTGTGTGTGTGTGTGTGTGTGTGCGTGTGTGTGCGTGTGTGTGCGTGTGTCTCCCGCCCTGGATGCCAGCCAGACACCGGCGGCGCTGGGGCGGCCCGGGCGCTCCCGCCGCCCCCCCCTCCTCCCCCCCCCCCCCCCCCCCGCCCCTTCCGTGCCGGGCCCAGGCGCCGGGCCGGGCCGGGCCGGGCCGGGCCGGACCGTTCAGCCGCTCCCGCAACTTTCCCTCCCCGCGGCCGCGGCACCGACTCGGGGGCCGCCGCCTCCCTGCCCCGCGCGGCGGAAGCACCACCCCCGCTCCGCCCGAGCATCCCCCCCCCCCCCGCCGCCGCCGCCGCCCGGGCCGCCCCCCACCCCCCCCCCCCCCCGCGGGCCTGGGCCGCCGCCGCCGCCCGGAGCGGGGGCGCAGGCCCGGCAGCGGGAGAGGCCGCCGAGCTCGGCCCGGCGCCCCCGGCAGCCCCGGCGGGGACAATGAGATGGCGGCGAAGAGCGCCGCGCCCGGGGGACCCGTTGCTCCGGCAGGAGCCGCCCCGCCCCGCGCCGCCTCCTCTTCCCTCCCCTCCCCTTCTCCTCTCTCCTCGCACGGGCAGCGCCCGCTCCCGGCCCGGCCGCCGCGGAGACCGAGCGAGCGAGCGAGCGGCCCCGGCCACCGCTGCCCCCGCCCCTCGCGCCTCCATCTTGGATCGGCGCCTCAAGCGCCCTCCCTCCCTCCCTCCCTCCCTCCCTCCCTCCGCGCCCCGGCTCACCTCGGGCCGCGCCGCCGGCGCCGGGCCGGGCGGCAACCCCGGGAGCCCTGCGGAGCGGCGGAGCTGTGCGGGGTCCGGGCGGGTGCGGGCCGGGGCCGGGGCGGCGGCGCTGGCGGGGGCCGCGCTCACCGGAGCCGCAATCCTAAACCGCCATCTGGCGGCATTTCCGACCCGCCAATGGCGCAGCCGCCGCCGACGCGCCCGGACCCACAGCGCCCCCTGCCGCCCGCGCGCCCCGCCGCCGCCGCGCAGGGGAAGGGAGGGGGGCGGGGGGCGGGGCCCAGACGGCGGGGACACGCCCCCCGGCACGCGGGCGCCGCAAACGTCTTTCGCGCGAAAACGCCGCGCATGCGCACCGCCGCGGGGAGGGGGGGGGGGGTGTGTGGAACAGGAAACCACCGGGAAGGGATAAAGGAGGAGGGGGGCGAAGGGGGGCACGCGGTGTCTGTCGCGATAGAGCGGTGTGGGGGGGGTAGCGCTCCCCGGTTCTGTGAGGCGGCGGTGCGCTCTCCTAGTCGGTTCTCGGCGGCCGGTGGGCTGAGGCGGGGGGGTTGGGGGGGGGGCGTTCGGGGGCTCTCCCGCCATGGGAGCGGCGGGCAGCGGCCGCGGAGGGGGCGGCGGCGGCGGCGGCCTGAGGCAGCGGCGGCGGCGGGCGGGTGTGTCGGCACCGGTAAGTGTTTGCGTGCGGGAGCGCGCGAGCCTGGCGGGGAAGGAGCCCCGGCAGCCGCCGCCCCCTCGCCCGCCCCCCGGGTTTAGGCGGCTGGGAGGCTGCGGCTCCGGGGGGGGGGGGGGGGGGCGGGAAGGGGAAGGAATTAACCCCCGCCGAGCCTCCGCCCCGGGGCTGCGCCGCTCCGCGGTACCCTCCTCTGTCGGGTGCTGCCCGCGGGAGATCCGCCACCCGCGCAGGAAAACTCCCCAGCCCCGTTTGTCGCCCGGCCGCCCCCCCCCCCCCCCCCCCCCCAGCCGCCCCGCACATGCGGGTGCTGGGAGAAGATCAAAAGTAGTAAACTTTAAATGAATTTTGACCTGTAATCTCTTCTAGTAAACCTGAATGTGCCGCCTTGCGCTCCGTTTCACCCCGTTGTAATGGGTCACTTAAGGGTTTGCTTATCTAGCCAAGCTGCTTTCCCTATGCTGTAGGAGACTGTATTTAAGCGTTGATGGATTCTCCGTTTTTTCCCCCACGCCTGGAATTGCAGTCGGAAGGGGTTTGTTGGGATTAGGGTTTGTGGAAGGGGAAATTTGCGGGCACAGCGGGTCTTCTTCCAAAATCGCTGAACGCGAGCATCGCTGCTGCAGGGGTAGTAGTTGCACAGGGCAACAGACGTGAATGCAGAAATTAGAGCAGAGCGTTTTTTCGTGGAGCTGGATGCATTTGGAGCCCGTACGCACCAAGAGAATAGGTTCGCGAAAGCAAGGGAAATTAAAGGTGTCACATCTAATCCCCACTGAAGTTGCACGTGGCAGCTGTAGCGAGCTAGCACAAATACAGTGTGGGTTTTAGGGCAGCAAAATACTATCAGGAGGGTACTGACAATTAGTAGGGCTTGAGTGTAGGCTTTGTATTTGAATTCTGTGATGGATGTACTGGCTGTTCCCTTAGGCAGTGCTGTTGGATATGACTCGATTAATTTGAAGGTGTGGGATACCAGTTTGTTGGTTTGTGTATAGCATTTGCTCTCGTGCGTAAGTACTTAAAAACTCCTTTTGTATAATTGCTCTTTCATTTTCTTAAATATCTTTTATTATTCATTACGTTTTAATAAAGGCTTGAGTCTCTTTGCATATATTTTTAATAAAATTGATTGATGTGGTTGGACCATCTGGCGAAAAAGATAAAGGTGCTCTCATTTTCCAGCATGCACCTTATCAAATAGTTTAAAAGCGTGGCAGAAACATTGGCTGTTTCAGCAATACCAACATTTAATTGCCTGCTGTGCACATTATGTGTCCTTTTCTGCCCCCCACCACCCCCACCCCCCCACCCCGGTTCACGTTGTGTTACGCTAGTCAGACCCTCCTGTGAGCGTAGATCCCTTGGCACCTGGGGTTGCCTGAACTATCAAGCACAGAAGAATCGCCAGCAAGATGGAGGTGGTTAAATGGAGAAGGTGCCAAGTAGGAGTTTGGGAGGTTTTCCTGTGCTTGATTAGGAATCAAAAGAGGAACCCACGTTGTCAGAAGTCAGTGCACTGCGAGCAGAAGTGCTTGGTGAAGGTGGTTCAGGCTCAGCCAGTTAAGGGGTATGTAGGGATGGAGTGGGTCTGTTGTACGTATAATATTCAGGGGGAAAATGGTATGCTGTAGCAATGCTATAGAGATTGCTTACAGCCCTCTGGTAATCTCAGTCTAACTTGCTCAGGATTCAGGGGGTTTTCCACGGAGGAGTCAGAGACATCCCTGCAAGGCTTGCATTTCACAGCATGGGGATAGCTGGCTTGTTTTCAACTTCACAAGGAACTGCAATTTTCACATCTGCAGATCTTTCATAATAACGTTTCAGTCAGCTGACTGAATTTGACCAGAAGATGAGAGTGTTTTTCTCTGAGTTTATTGCAAATTGGTAGTTAGAATCACCAGTCAGACCTCCAAATCTTAATTCCTTCAGGCATGGTGAGAAGGAAGCTCGGCCTCCCACTGCCTAGTAGTCAAGTGGCATGTAATCACCTATTTCTACCTTGCTAATCAGTGTATGTGTAGCAATTGGGGGGGGGGGGGAGGGGGAAATGAGGAGGTGTTTGGTTTTTTGGTTTGTTTTTTTTTCTTTTAAAAGACATCATGGTGTGTATTCTGTTAATGATTTGTGAGATTTATTGAATCGTTGTGATTATTTGTTCACCCATGGGAGAACGGGGTTCACACTTGGGCAGTTGGTGATTTCCATGAGCTGGAAATTTAAATGGGTGTCCCAGGTTGTCATTTGAATTGGGAATGTTTTTGGTACATAACACGAGCATTTTGCGTAGTGCTTAATCTTCAGCCTCGTATTAAACCTGATCCAAATCAAATTGTGTTTTTCATAGAAAATACAAGTAAACTACTTTATTACTCCAGATACAAAGAAAAACAAAAACCTCATGTGATCTCCACAAAAGGCGCTAGCAGAAAGAGAAGTAGCAAGTTTTCTGCATAGGCTGTGCTGATTTCCATTTATTTTAAATTTGTGTCTGGGACAAAGATAATGGATTTGAGATATGCACTGATCTCAGTCTCCACTGAAATTCTCACTGTTAGGGAAAGCAAGGTCACCAAAGGGTACGAATCAGTGCACTGTGTGAGAGTTGACCTAACGTCATACACTCAATATTTAGTAGAGAAAGTTAAATTTTGGTTTAAGGGATGCTGCTATTTTCTCTTCATTGTTACTTCTCATCTCCTGCCTTTCTCATGCGTTTGCCCTTCCGCTTCCCAGACCTTCCAACTGTTAGCATTCTTAGTGCTGAAGAATACTGGAGGGAATACAGCATCTGTATAGGACAGCCATTTTGAGCTATGTGCTCATGATCTATTGTTTTCCTCCAGAGAGATCTCTGAATACATTACGCAGGTCCAGTGCTGAATCTGCAACTGCATTTTGTCTCTCTTCTACACCCTTTTCTATATTTGCTGGAAGAAAATGCAATCTAAACTCAGTGAGCAAGACAGTTACCGTTGTATGCTAATGGTAAAAAATAAGTTATTTTGGCTTTGTTTTCATGAACCAGTAGTTGCAGCATGTACTCGGTTGTTTCTTAATGAAATGACTGGCTTCATGCAGGCTAGCTCCACTGCCACTCTAATAATAATGCCTGTTGTGCACCTTTTGTCTTCTTTTCTTCCCACTTATTTTATTCCCAATCCATGCCTTGTGCCTTAAATCAGGAAGATCTTAATATTTTTAAGATGTGGGGCCAGCAAGGCAGAATTGTGCATTTACAATACAATGAAAATGCGAGGTAAGAAGAGCTGTGCTTATGAAAATCCCTGTCTTCATGGACTCATTCAGTGCCTTATTTGAAGAAAAAGTGCAAGTAGCAGGTGAGCCGGGGGTAGGTTTCTGGTAGGGTGTTTTTAGTGGTTTGATGGGTTGCTTGAGCTGCCCACTAGCACAGCTGATACCAGCTCTCACCCTTTTTATTTACTCTCCTTGGCACTTCAGCTGTTTCTTCTCAAGTTTCTTGCGGTATTTAAACTGTACATTAACGAGCAGTCTGGAGTACTCTCTGCTTTTGCAGCTTTGTTATTTCAGCTGAGCTCTGCTGGAAATGGGTTGGCAAAAGAAGCATGAACAGGAGTGCTAGCACGAGGCCTCCTGCACAGGCAAGGGCGTTTGTTGTCCCCACAGACCCTCTTAAGCCCCACTTCGGTGAGGTGTTTTGGGGCTGGGGGTGTAATCTCCTGGAGCGAGAGCAAGGGGCTGCCCCCGGGTACCTCCTGGTTTACTGGAGCGGGGACTCGGTGCCTGCCCCACTCCCACTCATGGCCGGCCCTGCCGGGGCGAAGTAGGCCACAGCTTAGCGTGGGTGCAGCAAGGGCTCTGATAAACACCCAGCCTCTGAGGAAAACAGAAAACACCCCATTCTGAGGTAAATTATTTTTGCTAGCAGACAGGCAGTGCTTGGCTGTCGCCAGCTGAACCTGGCCGTGATATTTTTAAAGTATTTCCACGCAGAGCTTTTTGCCTCCCCCCCCACACACACACACTTCTGCGTTGCCTTTTGATCTGTGGTCTCCCTGACGAACCGCCGTCGCGCTCTTCGGCCTGATTGTACAGCTCGGCCGTGGTCTTGCACCTTCAGGAACCCGCCTGCTCCGGCGTTTCGGGACTGCGGGGTCGGTACCTGGCCCCCGCCGAGGCCAAACTGCCGCTCGGCTCCTGGGGGTGGGTGAGCAGAGAGGGGGGGGATGGATCCTCCTGGGCATCCTCTCCTTCCCAGCGCTGGTGAGGCAGGACAGCGGGCACAGGGAGGGTGAATTTTCTTGTTACTAAGCTGTCGGAGCCTTGCGCTCACAAACCCACCACGTGTTCCTTGGATTGGTTTTGTCAACAGCTCTGAGGAGCGGTTTTGGCAAGGTGGCACTGATGGCTTTCTCTCCATCAGAAGTTTGGGGGGTTTTGTAGTGGTTTGTTCATAATGACGTGCCAGGGTTGCCAGTTCCTCAAAGGCATGCCAGGGCTTCTCAGATTTTCAGCTTTGAAAAACAGGCAGCATGTTTCATGCCGTCCTTGGGTATTCTGTGCTGAGATGATCGTAACCTTTCCTATTTGATCCCTGAGAGCATCTACTGTTTCTGTTTAGGCACCTGGACAAAGATGTAGATGACCATGAGGTGCTTTCCCCTTCTGGCTTGGGATTAAAGCTCTCGGTCGCAGGTAAGGTCTGCCCGTGTTTATTTGCTGCGGCAAATAGAAGGCAGGGAAGGTTGCCCTTCTGCTGCCACTTCATTTGGAAGGGCTCTCCGCACAGATGGCGGAGGGCGCTGCAAAAAGCAAAAGTCATCTTGGGGACATTCCTGTCCCTGAATTAAACCAGGGGGAGCAGTGGCACGCTCGGCAGAGAGCTGGAGGGAGCTAAGGGGCAGTGAGGGGAGAGCTCACACCACTTCTGCAGTGCAAAATTGGACCTTCAGGAGGAGACAAGAAGGGTGGTGCTCTTGTTGCTGTGGTTTTTAAATGTCTGCTGTGGGAAGGTCCAGTTCGTAGTCTGGATCAGCCCTTCTAAATTCTCTCCAATTTAAAAAAAAAAAAAAAAAAAAAAAAATCAGGTTTTAAGGACAAACCTGTTGCAAAATCAATCGCTGGAAATAAAAGAATGCTAAAAGGAGAATGAATTTTTAACACTGACAAAGTATTGTGCAAAAACGTGTTGTTTATTCATATGCTAACTATGCTGACCTGCTCAGGGATACTCCCTGTTTCCCTGTGTTCTTCTCTCTCTGTTTAGAAAGAAGGTGATCATCTCCTCCAGCCAAATTTCTTCCGTAATCTTGTAACATGAGCGAGCAATTAACAATAAGTATAATTCATAATTACAGGGTATTTGCTGTCCAAAAAGCTTAGCAAGAGAACTTTCTCATTAGAATAAGAATATACTAGAATGTATTATGTGTACTACACATAATGAGAATATATATGTAATTTTTAAAAACTAGTGACTAAAATGAAGAACCGTGGGTGGTTTTTAAGGAGATCCAAATGGCCTGACTATCAAAGAGATTTAGCAGTAACTCACCAGAAAATTAAAGCAAAACCAAGAACAATCTACTAGTACTTAGGCTTGGTTGATAAAAATAGCTTGTAAACACTAGCAGCATTTACATACTAATGAATTTCTCGCTATTGATTGAAAAAAAAAAAAAAAAAAAAAAAAAAAATAACAGTGCGTCTCAATTTTTTTGTTAAGACCTGGACTTTTCTCTGAGGAAATGGATACGTCTTCCCAAAAATACCCAGTCAAAAAGCGAGTGAAAATTCATCCCAACACAGTAACAGTGAAATATACTTCTCATTATCCCCAACCAGGAGAAGAGGGATATGAGGATGTTAATGAAGATACCGGAGTATTTGTGGAGGATAATCCTAAGAAAAGACTACTGAATGATGGGAAAAAGAGGGAGAGGACTTTTTTTGGTACAATAGACACCAAGCGTCAGCCAGCACAACTGCCAAAACCCGATGAGATCGGGCAGTCCCAGCGTTTTCCTGAAGGGAATATACTGCAGTCAAGGAAAACATGGGTAGTCCTTTTTGGATCTGCCGTGGCGCATGGATGTGTGGCTCTAATTACAAGATTAATTTCTGATCGTTCCAAAGTGCCATCCCTAGAGTTAATTTTCATCCGTTCGGTCTTACAGGTGCTGTCCATTACTGTTGTGTGTTATTACCACGAGCATCCCTTTGGCCCCAAAGGCTACAGACTCCGGCTCTTCTTCTATGGGGCCTGCAATGTTATCTCCATTACCTGTGCTTATACCTCCTTCTCTATAGTTCCCCCCAGCAACGGGACCATTATGTGGAGGGCTACCACTACAGTGTTCAGTGCCATTTTGGCTTTTTTACTCATAGATGAAGGAATGGCTTACATAGACATCATTACTGTAGTTGGCAGCGTGTTTGGCGTTTGTCTGGTCATGATCCCCAACATCGTTAAGGAGGAAAACTCTTTGCTGAGCACCTGGAAGGAAGCTTTTGGCTATACCATGACCGTTATGGCAGGCTTGACCACTGCTCTCTCCATGATAGTCTACAGGTCAATCAAAGATAACATCAGCATGTGGACAGCACTGTTCACCTTTAGCTGGACAGGAACAGTGTGGGGAGCGTCCACCATGTTCTTACTTCAAGAGCCAATCGTCCCACTGGATGGAGAAACCTGGAGCTATCTCCTTGCCATCTGCCTGTGCTCCACAGCAGCCTTCCTCGGGGTCTACTACGCCCTGAGCAAGTTCCACCCCGCTTTGGTCAGCACTGTACAGCACCTGGAGATAGTCATCGCCATGGTCCTGCAGCTTGTCGTGTTGCGGATCTTCCCAGGTGCTTATGATCTTGTCGGGGGAGCGGTTATTTTGGTTAGTGTTTTTTTCCTTGCATGTTATAAACTGTCCTGGAAGAATTTAGGAAGGCAAGATTATCAGGAGATCGTGGATTCTTCCATTAAATGAATTGCGGTTTTGCTGTCCGATTCTGGCTGTGTGACCATGTGAAAGTAACATGCTTCAACTCTGTGGTGTTCTAAGCATAGTGGCCAGGTCCTCTCTCCGCTGTTTAAATGCACAGCTGATGTAACCATGTTGGTGTTTCCAGGCTTCCCTGACAGGTGAATTTGTTGTAGCGTGTACAACCACTGACATTTTGTCATAGGAGAAAAGGCTGTTTGTCTCCAGCACGTAGGGAGCGTGAGCGGAAGCGCAGGCCAAGTCATAGGCATGTTCTTCCTCCCCTTCCCTGCATAAGGCAATACTGAGACAGAGGGATTCGCTACTGACCCTCCTTCCTGTGCAGTGTGGTAGTGGGGAAGATTAACAGTAAAACCATTAAAATGGTCCACCAGAGTGTTCATACCCTCTGTAACACTTCTTATGCTTTGGCTGTAATAGTCTAAATGAAGTCATGCTAATATTTGTCGTTAACACTTGCATTGCCTGTGTGTATAAAGAATAAGTCAGTAAAGCTTCTTGTGCTTTGTGGTTAAATTTCTGTCTGAATTGATGCGGGGAGCCCAGACCTCCTGTGGGGGAAAAGAGAGCCCCAAAAACTGGATCACCGGTTGTGCCACAGATGTGAAAGTAAGGTCCCCAAGAAGTCCATGACAGATAAAAGATCTACCCCTGAAGCAGAGCAATATTCTTTCTGTGGAACCACTCTTTGTAAAAGAGTTTTTGACTATAGTGCAAGGGAGAGGGAAGAAAAAAAAAAAAAAGATTGCATTTGAGATTGTGGTGTTAGCTGTGGTGGTAACACTGAACAGCCTGACAGCCATCCATTGACTTTAAGTCGGTCGTGCCTGGGTCTTAACACTTCAGTTTGAAATCAGATTTACAGAAAGCCCCAGGGTTTTATGGTTCCAAACAGTATTCCTGGCCGTGCTAATGTACGGTGAGCACAGAGAAAGACCAGTGTCTAAGACTCTGTCTGTGAGCTCCGTGCCAGCCAGGACCTGCAGGCACCTCCCCACTCCAGCGGTCTCTTTTCTGGGACACCAGCATTTTCTGAGGGAAAAGGCATTGCTCACATGACCCCAACCAGTCCAGCTACCCCCATGGAAAATACATTTTACTTGGGGAAAAAGCCACAGCAGCTGCAATCATTTTTATTCCTATGAATATGCAGAAGACCAGGTTCCCCCACAGCAGTCAGCCCAGCCAGCAACGCTCCTAATCTGCGTGACACTTGTGTCCTCCTGTGTCAGGGGTGAGAGCGACCGCCTGGGCCATGGAGGGAAGACGTGTTTCCTCAGGTGCTTGCACAGTTACAGCTGCCCCAACAACTCCGTTTCCTTTAGGAGCATGTGGAGCCAGCAACAGGAGCTCTGTGGGAAGGACAAGAGGAAGGGGAACGGGTAACACAATGCAGAGCTGGGAAAGCCGTGCTCAACACCTTGCAAGCCACAAAAAAGCCTTTGGTAGCTTAGGGGCAGGGCAGTTTCCAGCCCAGCATTTTGCTGTGCCTCTACCAACTCCTTGTTTCCCTCTGGGGCAGATGGTCTTTCCTCCTCTGAGTGAGGAAGACGACGGGAAAGCTTCCTTTGTGGACAGCGACCAGGGCAAGAGGCTGCATCTCCTGTGGCTTCCACGCCTGTGGCACTCGGGAGGGAGTCGAGCTTTGAGACTCTGCCGTGCCAGCCTGGGTCCGTGCTGCCAAGCGAGGAGCACCTTGACGGCGAGGCTCCCTCAACGCCTGCCCCGTGCAGTGGGGGCCAGCGAGCTCAGGGTGAGCTGCCCCAACCCCAAAGCAGCAAAGCCCCCTCCTCAGCACAGCTCCCTCCTGCCCCCGGCGCCTGTGCTAGCTTCTCCGCCCCAGCTGTGCATGCTGCCGAGCTGCGCCAGCCCCGCTGGGATCCCTGTGAGCGGGTGGCTGTACGGCTGAGCACACCGAAGAGCGCGCTCCTGCCACCTTCCCCTCCTGCCACCACCAGCTGCCGCTTCCCCAGCATTTGATCCACAGTCACAAACTGCAGGCTGGGTCAGTTCGACTTAGGATCGGGTGCAAAACCGATCCTGCCAAAACTTGAGGCCAAATTGAACCAGGGTACAATCCCACCCTGAGAACCTGAGTGATAGCCGGGGAGCGATTCCTGGGGTCTACGGGGTTTGGTCCTGGTCCAGCTGCGCCACAGCCTGCACAAGGTCCTGTACAACCAGGTCCACGTCTGCCCGGGTGGTGTCTCGCCCCACGCTCAGCCGCAAGGCGTTCTGCGCCACGGCATAGGGGATCCCGCAGCTGAGCAGAATCGAGGAGGGCCTGAAACACAGATATGGGGGCGAGCGGACTTAACGCGAAGGCCGAGGAAGCACATGCGTTGCCAGAAAGCTGCACCAAGCTGTTAGGAGGAAGCAAATCTGCAGAAGGACTCCGGGCAAACCTGGCCGGGTGTAAGGCAGACTTTCTTCTGGCAGTGCCAGGCGTTGAAGAGTACTCCCAAGCTCAGCTGGCTCACCAAAGCCAAGAGGGACAAAGTCCTTCCAAGCAGCAGTGAAGCCTTCCAGCTGTGTCTCCTGCAGTGACCTGCTTTGCAGCCCTTCAGCCCCTCTGGAAAGCTCTGCCCCCTCTTTGCTCCAGGTGATGCTGCCCACAGCCGTCCCTTTCCCTGCCCCACTTCCCACCCACCCACCCACCCGCTCGCCTCTGGGAAGACGCCCTGAGCCTGGCAAAGCCGGCTGCTTACCGATCCCCTTTCTCCGAGTGGCAGGCAGCCCCAACGCTGGCGAGAAGCACCTTGCAGCGGGACAGCACCCTTCGCCCTGCAGCACACACAAGCACAGGTCTCCCAGCGCCCAAGCTCTCTCCGAGGGTCGCTGCCTGCCTCCTCTCCATGCCCGAGCCGCGGCCGAGCGCCCACTGGTCGCCAGCCGCAGGGTGTTGTGCGGGGCAAGTGCTTGGCTCCGTGGGCACCATCGCGGGGCAGCGGTGGGGTAAGAGCTACCTTGAAGGCCTGGGCCCAGGATGGAGAAGTTAGAGGTGTTGCAGAGTCGCTTAGAGCCCGCAAAGCGGCTGTTGAAGTGGATCCTCTGCTTCCCAAAGGCAGCCTGGAGAAATTGGAGGGCTGCGAACCGCTCTGGGTTCGTGAGTAGCTCTGTCCTGATGAGGAGGTGGCAGGGCCAGAGGGACCTTCCCACCCTGACTCCAGACCCCAGGAGGGGAGAGAAACAGGAACCAGGTCTGCTCACCTCCAGCCTGGCCTCCAAGTAATCCCGAACATCCCGCATGTGAGCCTCGTAGGCCTCCCAGTTCTTGCTCACTAACTCTGCAGCCTGAGAAGAAAAAACCCAGACAGGCTCTATCAGCAGCCCCCTGGCATGTGAGTCCAGCCCAGGAACAGCCTCTACAAAATTGCCAAAAAGTCCCCTGCGTCCCCCCAACAGCCTCTCGGTGCTGTGCGCCACGTGGGCTGCGTGGCTGCCCACGGCCAGGGCTGCAAAACCTGCACCAAGTGCTCCAAATCATCTCCTCTGGCTGGCACCAGGAAAGCCCCATCTCCCTTCTCCCTAGTTCGCCCTCCCTCCCACACCCCCAGTTTGTCACTTCTCACGACGCAGGAGCACAGGCGGCTGGCTCGGTGCTGGCTCTGCCAGCCAGCACCCCAGGGAACCCCCCACCTTGTGACCCCCATCACTGACTCACCTGGCCAAGGCCAGCGATCATCGGGGTGTTCTCGGTGCTGGAAAGGAAGCAGCAAGTTATTCCTCCAGACTCAACCTCGGGGCACGGACATTCCCCGCGTGGGACCCCTCACTGCTGGTCGGGGGTCCTGGACACCCCTCCGGGGTGACTGGGGAGGAGACAGTTCCACCCTGCGGTTCCTCCAGTGGCAAAGCCTGTGCTCCACGCTCCCGCAGTTCCCACGCACGGCTCCATCGCCCAGGGCTGGCAGGTGACACAGCTGCCAGCTCAGCTCAGACTAAGGAGCCCCACGAGATTTGGCCACCCAGCCACCTTACCCTGGCCGGAAACTCCTCTCCTGTCCCCCTCCGAAGAGCATGGGGTGCAGTGGGGTGGTGGTGCCGGGGCCACGCACATACAGTGCACCGATCCGCGGGCCGTAGAACTGTGGGGAGAAACGGCCACAGTGACCCTGGGGACACTTGCCCAAATCCGAGCGCCCTCCAGCGCTGACCCCTGCCCGTCTCACGGGTGTAGGCTGCGGCAGAGCTGCCTCCTGCTCTTGCCTTCCTCCTGCTTCCCCTTCCAGACAAGTCCCCCTGACCTGCAGAGGCCTTGTCACCCAGCTGAAGACTGTCTTCAGAGCACCATCCAGCAGGAAAACTTTGGCCGAGCATGAGGGAACAAGCCATGGGGAGCGCCCAAAGTCTCCCCGACACCCCAACAGAGGTGTCTTAGATGGCAAACGGCGGCCAGGCCACGGGCACGGGGCCGTACCTTGTGTCCCACGATGGTGAGGTAGTCCACCCCCAGCTCCTGCACGTCCACACGCCCCTTGCCAACCATCTGCGCCGCGTCCGTGTGCAGCAGGATCCTGGGCAGCCCCGCGGCCGCTCTCTGCTGATTGAGGGCGCGGAGGTGCTGGCTCAGCTCTGTTACAGGCTGGCGGGAGGGAAGATGGTCTGTGTCCCCGGGACCGTCTGCTCCCCCTTATCAAGCACCTTTCTGCAAGGATGTCCCCACTCTTGTCCCCATGCCCCCACACCCCTCCCCATCCCACAGACTCACCATGATGACCCCAGTCTCGTTATTGGCCAACATGATGGAAACCAGGCAGGTGGTCGGCCGGATGGCGGCGAGGACGTCATCCACCTCAGCCTGCCCGCTTTGTGGGGACACGGCCACGAAGGTGGCTTCTGCAAGCCAAGAAACAAGCCCTGAGGCTTACCGGGAAGCCCGACGGCACCTTGGGCTGCCCGCGCCCCGCTGAGCAGGCAGGAGAGCTGTGTAGGCAGCGGGCGTGCAGGCCAAGAGGGCATGTCTGGGGAGTCGGGGCTCTTTTTGGAGGCAGGGGGAAAGGGGAACAGCATGGAGCAAGCAGGTCCGTGCCCTTCTCTGCAAAACTGCCAGCGAATAAAGCCCCCCTGGCACACCTCCGCCTGCAGCCAGACGCCCCTGGCCTGTCCCCTGCCACCCACCCGCCACGCTTTCCTTCACCAGCTGCTCCAGCGGCAGGCGGATGGAGTCGTGCTCCACGCTCGACGCCACCACGTGCGGCGTCCCCCCACTGTCCCCAGGCCCGGGCTGGCTTCCGCGGACGCGCTTGCAGGCGGTCTGGATCACCATGTTGTTTGCCTGCGGAGGGGGCAGATGAAGGCCCAGAGCGGAGGGCGGCGGGCGGGGGCTGTCACCACCCCGCATGGCAATCCTGCCCGCTCCCACCTCTGTGCCCCCCGACGTAAAGACGATGTCCTCCGGCCGGGCTCCCACCATCCTCGCCAGGCTCTCCCGGGCGCTGCCGATGAGCTCCTTCGCCTTCCTGCCTGTGGGACGAGACCCGGCAGCTCCGCCGTGGGCTCCCGTGGCCGCGGGGCTCCGCGGCGGGTAGCGGGGGGCGGCGGCTCCCCCCCCAGTCCCCACCTGCAGGGTGGGAGCTGCTGGGGTTGCCCCAGGCCTGGCGCATGGCGTCCTGCACAGCCTGGGCCACCTCGGGGGCCAGCGGGGTGGTGGCGTTGTGGTCCAGGTAGACCTTCCTGTGGGGGGAAGCCGGGGGGTGAGGGGGCTTTGGGGGGCCGGGGGGTGGGGGGGGGCGGGGCAGAGCGGGGCAGGGCCTCACCCCTCCGCCGTGTCGTGTCGCGGCTCCGTCCCGGCGCCCATCGCTGCCGCCCTGACACCGCGGGGAACCGGCGCCTGGGCACCCACGGCGGGGACCAGGCAGTTGCCTCCTGCCCGCCCCACCGCCCGCCAATCAGCCCCCTCCTGCCCGCCCCACTGCCCCAGCACCGCCAATCAGCTCCCTCCTGCCCACCCCTGCGCCGCCCTTCCCACCAATCAGCTCCTTCCTGCCCGCCCCACCACACCACCGCCCGCCAATCAGTTCTCTCTCCCTTTCCCCTCCATCCCGGCACTCACCAATCAGCTCCCTCTCCGCCGCCCCACAATAGCGCCCGCCAACCGGCTCCCTCCGCCCTCCCTTCCCCGCCGCCATCACGCCCCGTCCGCCAATCCGCTCCCCGCTGGCTGAGCAGAGGCCAATCAGCTCCCGCCACCCCCCCCACCCCCCCCCCCACCGCACCGCCCCGCGCCCGCCCATTGGCCGGGAGACCCCGCGCCCGCGGCGCCGCCCATTGGCGGGGCCCTTCCTCCCGGCCGCCAGGGGGCGCCAGGGCCGCGGCACCCCGCCGCGCGCTCACGCTCTCGCGCCGCTCCCGGAAATCCCTGTCCCGCCGCGCCGCGCGGAAGCGGGAGGGCGGGGCGCGAGAAGCCCGGCCGGCGCGCCACTTCCGGCGGGCCCCTTCCGGGAGGGGGGGGGGGGGGCGGGGCAGGGCAGGCGCCGAGCCGCCGCGGCGCTGCCCCTCTCCAAGATGGCGGCGGCGACCTCGGCCCGTTCCCCCCGCTCCTTCCTGCGCAGGCTCCGCGGAGCCCCCTCCAAGATGGCGGTGAGCCCCGGGGAGGGGAGGGGCGGCGCCGGGCCGGGGGCAGGGCGCGCCGGGCCCCGCCGACCCCCTGTTGCAGCCCCCGCGGGCGCGGCGGGGCGGGAGGCGCCTGGGGCCCTTCCCGGCACCGCGCCGTGACTCAGCGCGGCGGGAGAGGAGCCGCCGGCGGGGCGGGGGGGGGGGACACCCGGACACACACACCCGGGGGGGGCTCTGTGTCCTCGGCCCCGGGGGGGGTGTGGGTGCGATCCCCGGGGAAAGCGGCGGCCACGCTGCGGGGCGCGGCGGCCGTGAGTCACCCTCGGGCGAGGCCTCGGTGCTGCCGGAGCCCCGGGGGGTGCGGGGGCGGGCGCGGGGGGTGGGTAGCCCGGTCTGGGCAGCCCCGCAGCGGCGGCCGGAGTGCCGGCGCGGCCCCAAACCCTCGTTTAAAAACTAATTAACGGGAAACGAACGCCCCGCGCTCGGCTCTACGAACGGCGCTGGGGAGCGGAGCGCGGCAGCCTGGGCTGCCGGGATGGGCTGGGCGTGCGCGGCGGCCGCCCCACAGCGACGGGGGACACCATAAAATTCTACAGCTTATTGGTCCGAGCACGCTTTTCCATCTGTTTATTTTTGCTGCAGGGGAAAAAAAAAAAAAAAAAAAAAGTTTCATGTGACATACTCCTTTTTTTTTGTTTGTTTGTCTGTTTGTTGTGTGTGTCCCCCTCATCTTTCAGATTATGTCATAACTACAATATAAACGAGCAGTGATGGAATCACTGGGTACCGAGGTGAGAGCACGGAAGACTCTGGGGACTGCTGAATATGTAGAGTCTTCGGGTTTCACCCAGGGGGTGCTGCCAACCAAGAAGGATGTGGTTCAGAACATGCTGTATTTATTGCAGCCCAAAAGGGCTGGCCAGGCCCAGCGGTCCAAAGAGGATGCGGCCCAGCTGCTCGCCGAGCACCTGCAAGAGCACTGGTTGGTTTGCAACTTGCACACCATCGCGACGCAAAACATAAAGAAACTTATCCTCAAAATGTACGAGGAGTTTACCAGATTGTATCAGACCCGAAAGCAGAGGCAGAACCAGGCTTTTACCGAGCGAGCTGACAAATTCAACGAGAGTTCGGAGAAGCTCTTTGATGTATTTTGTACAGACACGCAGACCAGAAATAAACTGGAGGAATACAGTGGAATAAAAATGACTAGCATTGAGTGGAAATTTCTTGAAGATCAGAGGAGCGAAAGAAAAATGTACTACGAAGATTTCACGGACAAGCAAGAATTGAAGATGATGGAGAGAAGACAAAAGATACAGTGTCTGGAGCACTTCAGGAAACTCGCCAGGGAGGAGAAGGAAGGCAGCAAAGCGAAGGAAGTGAAATATAAAAGTGACGAGCAGTCAGACGAGGGCACGAGTGTGGATGAGTCGTACCCTGCAGAGGAAGAGAACGGCGGGGCTCCGGCCTTTTCGCTGCGGGGCAGAAGGAAGCGCCGGTGCCCCGCGACTCCTGCGAGCGCCGCCATGCCCCTGGAGTGCCAGCACATACGGATGAGCATCAGGAGAGTTAGGCCCGGGTTCTACGAGACTGTGGAGAAGGTCAAAAACTGCTAGCGCACGCCGCGGTCGGCAGGCAGAGCTGCTGGAGGACGAGGTGGCAATGCACACGTTAGGCAAGTTTGAAATCCCACCATCAATTGGAAGCGATTGTTGTAGATCCCCAAGACGACACTCAGGAACCTCCTGCCTCCGGGGAAGGGCGCTGGGACGACGGCAGCAGCGGTGGCAAGGGCTGAAGCACCTGAATTTGGAAGGATCAGTAGTCGGCGGCTCACGATGCGAAGGCTCAAACGTAGCAGAGGATCTAAGGTTACGTAACATAGATAAGCCTCTTGTTCCAAGGCCCTGGCTACATCAGTGGGTTTTTGGAAGTCTCTTACCATTTCTGAGCCAGTGGTGGCCTAATAGTATGAAACAGGACTCGGATTTATTGCAGGGAAATAACTTGGACTTGTTGCTGATGGAAAATTCACGTGCTGAAAAGCCCTGACTCCTGCTGGCTGTGGTGGGAGTGAAAGGTGCTCAGGCCCTTTCAGCAGAATTTGGCGTTTCTGCCAGGAAGGAAGCTGGTTTTCGGCTTGTGTAACCCAGTCCCGGAGAGGCACCCTGGGGTTTTGTGAAGGGATTGCTCTCCTGCTCGAGGAGGGGGAGAGAGAGATCAGGAGACATTTGAGTGCGTTGGCTGTAAAAGCATTGGTGATTCTGAATGTTTTATTCTAGATTATATTTTAATGACATTTCCTCGATCAGGATAAACCTTCCCATAGTCGGATGAGTTTTAACATGAAGTCCCTAATCTAGGATCTGAAGTGTGAATCCTAAATGAAGTGCTAATGCTTTATCTTCCGGGGGTGGGGGGGGTGGGGGTAAGATAGCGTGAAGGATGAAAATTGCATCAGTTAGATTTAAGATGGGAAGAATTGTATGCACTGTTATCCTGCCGCCTGAGGATATAGGGAAGAAAAAGCCTTCCCAGGTGTGGGTAGCTGTGGTGTTTACAGCAAAAGGCACCTGAATCTGGGCTTGCTTTTCCACCCCCCCCCCCCCCCCCGCCACCGAGGTCCGTGCAGACCAGCCGGGTGGAAACGGTAGGTTTTTTTTGTTTGAGCAAAGCGTAACCCTCTTGCCCCCACACATCCTGAGCAGTGACGTGTCTGATTTTTAGGATACCTGCAGTACGAGGGTATCTGCCAGTTTTAGTTAGAGTTGCTTTCCTGGTTTTTAAAGATGAGAGACTTGAACTTTCAGTGAAACCCAGCGCTGGAGGTCTTCTCTCTGATGAGATTCCCAAACCTCGCCAGGCTACACTGAAAATTAAAAGCCCCAAGTCTCTGTTTTGTCCACAGTTGTCCTCTGGTAGAAAGAGTGCAAACTTGCCTGGTTTTCAAATTTACCTTTCAGTGTGAATGTTGGTTTCCCCACTCCAGTATCTCAGCTTTTCCCCCGTTTCTTTCTTCTCCGTCCTGCACATCATTTTACTGACATTAACTCATGCTGTTTCATTCTTTGGCTTTTGCTCCCTTTAACAATAAATGCATGTACAAATAATATTGACAGTTCCTTTACTTTTGACGAATCAGTTCTTGGACTGCTTTGAAGTCCTATGCCAAAGGAGGAATGAAACACAAATTAGCAGCTGGTCCAGTGGGGACGCAGCAGAGCTGGCGAGCGCCAGAGGCCGCGGCAGCCCCGGCCTCGCTGCTCGGGCAGGCTCTGGCGTTCCTCCGCTCCGTCCCTCCGCCCACGGATGGATCCGTCCGGCTCCGAGCGATGTATCGGCTTCCCAGTGACCTTGCTCGTTAGTAATTGCCGGGATCCTTATTCCGTGTCTCTGAGAAGTTCTTCATGGTAAGTTGCTCCAAAATATTTAGTGAACTCTCTGTATTCCGCATCACCCGTAGTGTCATTACAGGTTTAATAGCACGCACCCACGTTCTGCAACACCCTTCAGCCTCAGCTGCTTGAGAGTTCGCAGCCCTCTCTCTCCTCCTCTCTCTGACGTGCTTCACCGACTTCCCCGTGCAAATTATGTCACGTTTAAACTATTTGCCTTCCAGCCCTGAGGTGCTGGACTTGAGCCTCTCACTGGGCTTTTACACCAGCAGCTCCGTTTCAGCAGGGAATATAGCCAAGCTCGGACCTCGCCGAAGTAGAATTTTTTTAATAACTGCTGTAAAACCCCCTTTGTACTACAAATATAGCTGACAGTATACATGCTCGTGTGTAAAGCAAATCCACCAGGGTTGACTCGAATATGGAACACAGCTGTATAGTGCTTTATGATTTTCAGGGATTCAGGGAATTTAAGGTTGTCGAATCTGACTTCCTGTATACCACAGGGAATTACATTTCATTCAGAAGCCCCACACTCAGCCTGCTAGTTTCAGTTTAACTGACGTGTCTTACAGAAAGTCGAGCTGAAGACGTCAGAAGTCGGCTGTCTTCCTCAGTTATACACTTAGTGGTTTGTCACCTTCGCTGTTTTAAAAAAGAAAAAAAAAAAATCAAAAAAAAAACGACCATCTTTTAGGCTGTGATTCTTTTCATGACATCTTGTACAGGCTGAGCAGTGTTTATCGCATTTAAATCATATTTGTTTTTTTTTAACTGGGTTTGACTGTGGATAGAGCCAAAGCCTGGCTCTTTTTCTGCTGCAACGGGGGGGGGGGGGGGGGGGGGGCGGAATTTCTAAATGATGTATTCTGATTACTCTTCTTTGGGACCATGGTGCCTTTTTAATCAGGACAGTAAATCTTGTCCCAGGATTCTGTACTTTTGTACGTTAACAGTTGTTGACTTTCCTTTTTTGGTGTGTCCCAAATAAATTAATATAACATACCTCTGGGCTTTTGTTTCTTCTTTCTGAAGGGGGAGGAAAGAGGAAACCGAAGCTAAAATAAATCTTCTCTACCCCAGCTCTCCCTCCGGGCTCTTGCAGGAGCAGCCGTGAAGGGTGCAGGTGGAGCCGCTCTCACCCGGACCGCGCGGGGCTGCGGTAGGGAAGCTGAGAGAAATGGAGTCTGGAATCGGGGCCTCACCTGTTTTTTTTAACCAAAAATGCTGGAGCCTGGAGCAGACGAAGGTAAGGGGAGGGGGATGAAACCTCTGCGCGTGGTGGCAGCGTTTCACTGGGACTCCTGGCGTGCTTCAGGCTTGGGGAGATCGGTATCTGAGGCGAGGCGGGGGCATCCTGCCTTCCTGGAGCGATCCTGCGCGGGTGTTCCCCAGTTCTGCCCGTTCTCTGCTGACTGGGATTCAGGGATG